ACAGATAGCCTGGGATTACAAAGATTTGTATTTTAAAGAAAACCAGTTCGAAGGGAGCATAATTTGCTTTTTGGGTTCTTAATATGAATTTCGAATGGTATGACAAGATCCATTGTCGAATTGATTTTGTCAAACAGATAAGCTAAATTTGTAAACTGCAATATGTAAAAACTATGGTAAATAAGAGACATGTTTATTGGAAGGATTGTGTGGGTTTGTTTAATAGGGGTATGCTATACACTGAAATCTAGATCATTTCAAGCTGATTGCCAAATAAAGAGATATATTGATACCCATCTGTTTCAGCTCTCCTCTGTTTTCTATTTATGTTGGCTACAGTTGATATACATTGCTAATCACTACAATTTCTTTCTTTCTTTCTTTCTTCCTGCCTTCTGCTGGTCATGTTAAGTAAAGTTATGCATAACAGCATTTGAGATTCTATGGATGGGAATTACTAATTTCCACGAATCGGTTCATTTAAAAAGTTAATTTAAAAAAACTTATTCTAAGATTCTAAGATAGATAGATAGATAGATAGATAGATAGAAAAAATAGTAGTAGTAGTTCCAACCAAGTCATAATACACGCAAGTCATAATACACACCAGCAGTAGCTAATTACAGACCGATCTAGAATCTCCCTTTTCTGTCCAAGATACTAGAAAAGGTACCTTACACTATTATTAATTCATCATTGTCATTAGGATATGTCCCCAAAACCTTCAAACTGGCTGTTATTAAGCCTCTCATCAAAAAACCACAACTTGACCCCAAAGAACTAGTTAATTACAGACCGATCTCGAATCTCCCTTTTCTGTCCAAGATACTAGAAAAGGTAGTATCCTCACAATTATATTCCTTCTTAGAGAAAAATGGTATCTGTGAGGATTTCCAGTCAGGATTTAGACCGTATCATAGTACTGAGACTGCTCTCATTAGAGTTACAAATGACCTGCTCTTATCATCTGATTGTGGTTGTATCTCTCTATTAGTGCTATTGGATCTTAGCGCTGCGTTTGACACTATTGACCACAACATTCTTTTGCATAGACTAGAAAACTTTGTTGGCATTAATGGAAGTGCATTAGCATGGTTCAAATCGTACTTATCTGACCGCCATCAATTCGTAGCAGTGAATGAAGAGGTATCATATCGATCACAAGTGCAGTATGGAGTACCTCAAGGCTCAGTACTAGGGCCATTACTCTTCACGCTTTACATGTTACCCTTGGGAGATATTATCAGGAAACACGGTGTTAGCTTTCACTGTTATGCTGATGATACTCAGCTCTATATTTCTTCGCAGCCCGGCGAAACATACCAATTTGAAAAACTAATGGAATGCATAGTTGATATAAAAACCTGGATGACTAGTAATTTCCTACTGCTAAATTCTGAAAAAACTGAGGTGTTAATTATAGGACCTAAAAACTCTGCATATAATAACCTAGAACACTCCCTAAGACTTGATGGTTGCTCTGTCAATTCTTCGTCATCAGTTAGGAACCTAGGTGTGCTATTTGATAGCAATCTTTCGTTAGAAAGCCACGTTTCTAGCATTTGTAAAACTGCATTTTTCCATCTCAAAAATATATCTAAATTACGACCTATTCTCTCAATGTCAAATGCAGAAATGTTAATCCATGCGTTTATGACCTCAAGGTTAGATTATTGTAATGCTTTATTGGGTGGTTGTTCTGCACGCTTAATAAACAAACTCCAGCTGGTCCAAAATGCAGCAGCTAGAGTTCTTACTAGAACCAGGAAGTATGACCATATTAGCCCGGTTCTGTCAACACTGCACTGGCTACCTATTAAATATCGTATAGATTTTAAAATCTTGCTAATTACTTATAAAGCCCTGAATGGTTTAGCACCTCAGTATTTGAACGAGCTCTTGTGTCCTCCACATCCTCCACATCCGCTGCGTTCTCAAAACTCTGGCAATTTGATAATACCTAGAATATCAAAATGTGGCAGATCCGGCAGATCCTTTTCACAAAGAGTGAAAAATTTAAGGGGGTCTGAATACTTTCCGTACCCACTGTACTTGCTACATCGTTAGAAGAATGGCATCTACGCTAATATTAGTCTGTTTCTTTCTTATTCCGAGGTCACCGTTGCCACCAGATCCAGTCTGTATCCAGATCAGATGGTCACTGCAGTCACCCGGATCCAGTACGTATCCAGGCCAGATGGTGGATCAACACCTAGAGATGACCTCGACAGCCCTGAATGTCAGCGGAAATAAGGACAACAAAATGAGCCCCAGAGACAGATCCCCAGTGAAGACCTTGTCTCCTACAGATGGTGGATCAGCACCTAGAGAGGACCTCTACAGCCCTGAAAGACAGCGGAGACCAGGACAACTAGATGAGCCCCAGATACAGATCCCCTGTAAAGACCTTGTCTCAGACGACCACCGGGACAAGACCACAGGAACCAGATGATTCCTCTGCACAATGTGACTTTGCTGCAGCCTGAAATTGAACTGCTGGTTTGGTCTGGCCAGAGGAGAACCCCCCCCCCGACTAAGCCTGGTTTCTCCTAAGGTTTTTTCTCCATTTTGTCACCGATGGAGTCTTGGTTCCTTGCTGCCTCTGGCTTGCTTAGTTGGGGACACTTAATTTCATTGACTTGATTGCATAGACACTATTTAAACTGAACTGAGCTGGATGATGACATAACTGAATTCAATGATGAACTGCCTTTAACTGAAAATTGAGTGTTTACTATAGTCATTTTGCATTATTGACACACTATTTGACACACTATTTTCCTAATTAATGCTGTACAGTTGCTTTGACATAATCTGTATTGTTAAAAGCGCTATATAAATAAAGGTGACTTGACTTGACAAGCAATTACCAGTGTTCATTGCATTTTATTTTTATTTGCTGCATGCAGCAGCTACATTCGTAGCCTTCGCCTTAATAAAGCTGCTCTAATAGAGGGGTAGCACATCCTGAGTGACAAGCTCATTGCGGCCATCAGGAAGCGCTACCAGCTTAAACAATCAAAGTTTCAATCAGAGGTCAAATTCATGATTATGGTGGGGAATTAATGACAATAGAATGTCAGGAGGCCAGTTTAATGCCTCACCTGAACGATGCTCCTTTTTACAGGTGCCGGTCTAACACTTTATAAAAAGGTTGCTTCTTTTTACACTCTGAAGTCAGATTCCTTATGCTAAGATTTTTGCACCCATATAGGTCAGGGAATGAGCACCCCCTGTTGGCCGGACTAAAACTAGCTCCAGCACCAAGCTAGTTTTTCACAACAGCCTACCAAGCCATCAGAATGTGCTACCAGCTTCAAAAAGAAAACAAAGTCAAATTCGTAACTGAGGTGGGGAATTCATGACAACAGAATGTCAGGAGGCCAGTTTAATGCCTCATCTGCAGGATGATCCTTTTCACAGTCTAAAGTCCGCGTCATTACACTAGGACTTTTGCACCCATTCAAGCCAGGGTTTATGCACCAAGAGCTTGTAACACTCCAAAGAGAAAGGAAAATTTGAAATAGCATCATATGACCCCTTTAAGGCCGAGGTGATAAGCTCGTGGGTGATTCCCGTTTATATCATGAAGCAGAGGTTCAAACTCCAGTCCAAACTCCACTGGCCAAGAGCTTTAGGCTCTGCTCTCACGGAGAATATTTATTTATAATATAGCATATTTTATTTTAGATCAACTAGAAACAATGTTTAACTTATAAAGTCTTATTTTGAAATGTAAGTCAATAATAATTGGCTGAAGCCAGAGCCAATGGTGAAAGTCTTTGCGCGAGGAGCCCCCGCCACATTTTGGAGGTTCTGCCCACTTTTGGAGTTCACGCCCCATTTTGGAGATCTCCGGTCTGTAGTTATACTTGGAGTGATGAGGCCGCGGAGGTGGCTTGAGTTTGCAGTGAGCAGCCACAGATCTCTCCTCCTCTCTCTGCCGGGGAAACACGTGCGGAGCAGCAGCAGTAGGCGGCACCACGGCACTCTCATGGCTGAGGAGGCCAAAAAACTGGCAGCTTATGCAGCTGTGGATAACCACATACAGGTGAGATTGTGTATTTACCTTCGTTGTGACACATTAGCACTACTTACGTTAGTTTAACTGGATAAACGGGCGCATTAAACACTTTGGGAGGCGTGAATGAACATACGTAGCAAAAACGATGCATATCGATGTGTCTCGCGTTATTAAATTACGCGACAACAGACCGACAGTAACGTTGCTGGTGTTTTGTATTTGCTGCCTATGGCTAACTGCTTTGACAGTTACAGTGTATAGTGAGTATCCGCTGTGACACTTCATGCTAGCTGGGATGCTACATGTTAGATTGTAGTGAAGTCAGCTAGTAAGTGAGAATAGCTCAGGTGGCATCAGTCGAGCACCTGTGTTTATTTACGCAGCGGGTTGTTTTACACATACAGTAAGCTAGGTGATATGAGGATGCTAATTCGGCTCAAGTTAAACGTTAAACGATTAGCATATTTGGAAATAGCTACGTGGTCTAATGGGTGCTGTCTGTGCCAGTCGAATGATTGTTAAGATGAATCGATCAGTGGTACAAAGTGGACTAGCAGTTTGAACTTTGAGTTCTGCAAACTTCAGACGTTTGCATGCATACTTTAAAAAACAGACTACCAGAGGCTTGGCTGCGGTGTTGTATTTCCAAAGCAGTGGTCATGGCGTGTTAGAATGAGCCGTTTTAGGGGGGCGTGGCAGAGTCTTAACTTTGATAAAGAATATCTCTTTGGTTTTGAGACTTTAGTCTTTGCAACTTCAGGGATCTTATCTATGCACAATCAGCTTGTAACACTCCAAAGAGAAAGGAAAACTTGAAATCGCATCATATGACCCCTTTAAAATAAAACCGCTCCAATAAACTTGGTTTGGTTACATTTTATGGACATTCTCTAGAAATCGAACCCATGAGCTTTTTGTTTCTAGCGCCACGCTGTACTATTTCAGCTCCAGAAATATTTCCTGAAATATTTCAGCACACAACCCGTTTATCAAACTGCCTTCAGGCAGGCGGTACAGGAGTATACAATCCAGAACCAGCAGATTGAGGAACAGCTTTTACCTACAGGCCATCTGAACTCTAAGCACTCTGTAATGCTCACTACACTCCTTACAAATATGTATACAACACCTATACTTCATGAGGACCTTTTTTTTTTCTTTACAAAGATCATTTGCACTTTAAAAAACAGACTGCACATACTACAAGACTTTAAACATTTTTTTTTTTTGGTTTGTATTATGCACTTATATTGTATTGCACTAAGGTAGAATGCAGGAGCCTCAACCTAAGCATTTCAATGTGCAAATTGTCACTGACATTGTACACATGATAAATAAACTTGAAGGTTAAAGACCTCCTTTACTGACCCTTTGTAGAAAGAAATAATGAATTCAGACCTTACTATCAGTGTTGTGTTTCCCTAATGTGTGACTGTTTTGTTTGGTTATGCTTATATTTGGTTGTACTTATAATTATATAAAATTTGACTTTTCATTTTTCTTTCAGAATAATCAGGTAGTTGGAGTGGGCAGTGGCTCAACTATTGTCTATGCTGTGGACAGGCTGAGTAAGACATTTCATCTAATATTATCCACTCATGCGTCAAACTCTCAACCACGATAATTACTAAAGGATTATGTTTTCTTTCTAGCTGAGAGGGTCAGACAGGAGAAGCTGAATATTGTGTGTGTTCCTACGTCTTTCCAGGTCAGTACAAAACTTCATTTGGAGCTATGACACTAGATAACACCTGTGTTTTTAACTGATTTGAAATGTGTTGATCCAGGCCCGTCAGCTGATTCTACAGCATGGTCTCACTCTGTCTGATTTAGACAGACATCCTGAGGTGAGTTTGGGCTGAGACTGCATGAGGACGGGCAGCTGGAATGGGAAGGAAGACAATAGAAGAGTAAAAAAGATGATTTAGACAACTTAACGGCTCAAATAACACTATAGAATGGACAGATTTAGTAAAACAATGCTATGTTGCACAGGCCAGCTAAATGGATGATTTGACTTTTGATAAAATGTAGTTGGACTGAAATATCAAGTAACAGCTTTTTTGCCAAAGAACTTTACTATGACTGGTTTAATTTATCACGAGTACACTTTTTTTTTTTTTTTTAACAAATAAAAATGATTTATTTTTTTTGGTCTTTTAGCTGGATGTAGCGATTGATGGAGCCGATGAGGTTGATACTGCTTTGACACTGATAAAAGGAGGCGGGTATGATTGGAAAATCTGTTTAATTCAAGTATTTTTTCCATTTCTCTTCATTCTCATTTGTGTATAACCCCCGAGGTGTCATCAAGTCTAGCGTCACGTCCTTTTCTTTTCCTCCCTCAAAATAGAGGATGCTTAACCCAGGAGAAGATTGTGGCTGGCTGTGCCAAACACTTCATTGTCATCGCAGACTATAGGTATGCATGTGGTGTCTAGCAGATCTTTTTATCCAAAGTGACTTCATTCCCGGGAAAGCAACCCACTGCATTGCTAGCACTGGGTGCTATTGTTTGAACTACAATATTTGGTATATATTTAGCATCCCATAATTACTGTTGATCATACTACTGATCACTGCCCAGTGTGTGATCGCTATAATTATATGAGAGAGTCTTCCACTAGAAGTTCAGAAGTGTTTGTATGATGTCATTTTATTACTTGTGTGTGTAGGAAGGACTCGAAGGCCCTGGGGCAGCAGTGGAAGAAAGGTGTGCCGGTGGAGGTCATTCCCATGGCGTATGTGCCTGTGTCCAGAGCCATTGCCCGGCGTTTTGGAGGAGAGGCTGTGCTGAGGATGGCAGTCAGTAAAGCTGTAAGAGAGTCTTACTAATGGATCTTGAATTCCATCCATTTGTGCTATTTACGTTTTTAAGGGTTCTTTTTTTTTTTTTTTACTTCTTATTATAATATACTTCTATTACATTACATGTAAAACAAAATCAATGTCCTGCCCTAAAATACGGACTCCATGATTTCTCTGATTTAATTTGAATAACTCATTCAACCCAAAGAACTTGGTTTATTGTTCTTACTAATGGATCTTGAATTACAGTTGTGTTTTTTTTTTTTTTTTTACTTAATTATATTATTCGTAAAAAATTACAATGTCCTGCCCTAAAATATTAACTCCTTTTTATTTGGTTTTATTTGAATAACCGTATCAACTAAAAGTGCTTGATTTATTATAGAAAATAACTCATTACATTTGTCTTTTCTGCACTATTTGGTGTTATTTGGGGTATTATTATAATATAATATAATAATAATAATAATAATAATATTTTTTGACATGCTCCCTATCTCGACTTGTATTTTTTTCTTCTAAAATCTTACCTTGATTTTCCCAGAAAGTAGCAGTGTTCCTTGCACTTCCTCGTAATCAAAT